CTTTTTAAAAATAACTTCTTACACCACACTAATACCATAAATAAAATCTCTTCACTAGGTGCGCTTAGGTTACGCTTGTTTTCCAACACCAACATATAATAGTATCTAAGGAGAAGCATTTTTGAATGTTCACACAGTATTTACACTGATTAAATGTGATAGATTTATTTCCTAGGTCACCAAAAAAGTGAAGGGAAGAGCCCCCCAAGCGCAGTGCTGTGGGTGCAGACGTACCTTGGGTTACCTGACTCTACTCAGAGAGACCTGGAATCCCTGCAGGGCAGCAGTGAGGCCGAGCTGCGCTGCTCTCTAGGGTTACCTCGGAATTTGAGACGGACAGAAAGGATCTACGGAAATTTAATTAAAAAGGAACACTGATTAATAAGTTGCAGAAGTAATGGATTCAAATGGATTCAATCATGAATTAGAAGGAATTCATGAATTCCTTCTGCTTAAAAAAGAAGAAAGTGCCACTAAACCTTCACTGTACTCGGCCAGGCAATGTGTTAAAAGCACTGCTAACAGTGCAGCACCCTTCTCCGCAGCTCTGGTCGCTGGATTACTACTGACGTGCCCTCACCCCTTGTCACACTAAAAGCTCTGCCTCTCCTCCGTTTCCCACTGAAGTCTTTGCTGAGAGGTGCATGGCTCAGCCCCAGGCTGTGCAGAGTAATGCTGGGACTGTTTCACGAGGCGGGTGGGAGTGCAGGAACCCCCCGCAGTTTCCGAGGAGCCGACGTGCAGATCTGAACCCCTCAGCGTGCGGCAGCATCGTGGTGTCCTGCTTCATCTCCCACGCTTGGCCTAACTTGGACGGGAACTCTCCATTAACTTGATCTTACTGGAGATGACAAGTGTGACTAAACACAAATACATCAATGTTCAGTTCAGGTTCTACTAAATAGTGTCTCAAAGCAGAACAAACATTTTTACTAGATTGTTGACTAAGTGATAAAAAAAATGACGAGGTGAAAGGTGTGCTAATAATTCAAGCTAATATTTCCCCTTTCTATTAAGATGTTAAACTACAGATAATCTTTAAGAGTATTTTCAGTAAACTGTTGCAATTTCTAGCAAAAAACACCCACCTCTGAAACAAGCTGTACAGAAAAACCCCATGTAATTCAAGAGGGAACACCGATGTTTTGAAAGTGATCAAGGCATAAACAAAAACAAAATGGAAATGAGCATCCAAAACAGCAAAATATATTTAAGCAATATCACAAATACACACACAAAAAAAACTATTTACAAATCTAAAATCGGCAAATTCAGTAAAAATCCTCCCACAAAAAGGTATTTATAAACAAGAAATTTAACCCATTGTCTACTGCTGGCAACAGAGGTGCTTTATGGTGAGCATAGCATTAATTACGCCTTTGCAAAATAAAGGGAAAATTTAATAAAGGTGAAGAAATTATTTCTGGGAAAAACTCAAACTGAAGGCTGAGCAACAACAACCACGAGGCATGCAAAGCATGAGGAACTGCAAATATGTAACTCTGGTAGTGCAAAAATGAAGAATGGCTTTTTTTTTTCCCCCAATACTTGTTCAGAGAAAAACACTACTGTGATTTTGCAATTCGAATTCCTTTTAAAGACTTATATTTGTAGGACTTACTTAGTGCATTTGCCTGTTTCAGCAAGGCTGATACTATACAGGAGGTAAATGAAACAAAGTCAACATAAAATTACTGCTGTGATATAAATTTATAACAACCTTTATAACAAAATGTCTGAATATACAGTACAGAGACAAGCCTCTACAAAACAAGTTTAGGTTTTCCTCATCCAGTCAATTTGCAAGCAGGTTACTGCTAAAGAAAAACAACCTGTATGTAACTGATAGTATGTAACATTCTTTGGAATTAGACTTAAATTTCTCTTTCAAGCTTTGCCCCCATATTTTGTACAGGGAGCAGAGGAGGGGAAACTCCTCACCGCTGCTAGCAGCTCCTGGTGCATGGTCCCCGGCACAGCCCCGGTGGGCAGAGGCCGGTGAAAAATTCCACCTGGGAACACGGACCAGGGTAGGACGCCTTGGTATTAGCTGGTGTGGAAACGGAGAATTAATACTGTTGAATTCCTGAGGCTCATAACCCCACACCCTGGGCAGCACGGCGTTTTGAAACCCACGAGGCAGCCTCTTCGTCCAAAAAAGGTCTCACAGTTTTGAATGGCTGTAAACATTTAGTTTAAATCAGCATTTTCACCATGCCTTTGCTGTTTAAAAAAACAGTAAGATCAAAAGTAGGAACACCTTAGCTCATGTTAAAATGATTTCAAATTCAGAAAACTAGACTTGTTTAATGGAGAAAACTGAGACAAATCTGCAATCACATGGTAAGTTTTGCAAATAATCTTTCTCCTGTGTTTTTAGCTGACTCTTATTTAACTTTCAACAAACTGCTAAAGATCACCCAGTCTATCCTAGAGAAAACAGTTTGATAAACAAGCTGGAAACCATTTAAAAACAGAGGCAAAAGACCAGCACCAATTGGTGCTAGGCCTGTCACCGCACTGCCGAGTGGATACTGCTCGGAGTCCCAGGACAGGTTCGGAGGCTCCCATCCTTCTCCTGTTCCCCTTCACGTACAAAAAGACAGACACAGATAATGTTCGTAAAAAATGTAACAGTAGCAGGTACAGAGTAAGATTTACCCACTGTAATTAGCGAGAAGCGTTATGGCTGCTGTTTAAAGCTTTTCCAAAACAAGGACTGTCGTCTTGACTTTCCAATGTTCACAGGGTGACTATCAGGTATTAATTACAGTGCTGCTTTATGGGGCCTTCATTAAAAATTTGTAGCACTCGAGTTGGGAGAACTTATGATGCAATCAGATGAACTTTTACTGAAATAGCATTCAAAATAATGGTGATTTTACCAACCAAATGATTGTCTTTAAGCAATCTTTCGTCTCTATACCCAGGGGTTGATGGCTAGAAATGGCTGAAAATGACTTCTGCAGAGGAGGCCGTGCTGCTCTTCTGCAGCTTGACGAATGCTCGTTCAGCCTGACGTCAAGCATCCAATTTATGTGCTGGAGCGAAGTGCTCGTGTGCCCAACCCAGGCTCCAGAGGGTGACTTACAACAGAAGTACTCTAAGGTTATTAAACAGACATAGGGGATTTGTCTGCTTGACCTTTGGCATATGAAAGCAAAGCCAAAACAAATCTCATAGGCACAATCAGAGGAAAATTCACCCTAAAACAGAGATCAAGTGATTCTTCCTCTAGAAATATTTACTTCTCTTTGTTAATGAGCAGTGGAGCACTTCAGGTCACTAGCATGGGTTCAGGTGTCAAGCTTTCAGACATCTGATTTAAATGACTCCCACATTGGAACTTAAGTTGGATACCTGAAGCTAGATGGTGCGATTACTCTGTCCTGACTGAGAACTGCCACCCCTCAAATCCGTAACAGAGCTGCCATCGCCAGTATCTACTTAGAGAAGACCCACTTCACCTCTCATTTCTTTATCCTCTTTTCACTTTATGGAAGGGGATGGAGAAAGGCAAAGCGGGGTGGGGGGTGCTGTCTTGCTAAACCAAGTTGTGTGATACACACTAATGAAGAAACTTAGTGACTGTCACTTGTAAATCCTACAAAATCACCATTTTGAAGTTGGTGGGTGCAAATTACTCCTGCTATTGCAGATCTCATAATGTAATCACACATTTTATTTTCAGGAGTTACTGACAGGTATCAGTGTTAGCAGATTCTCTAACTTAGCTGGCTAAAAAGCTCAAATGGAGTTAGAAAAAACCTTGATGGCAAAGACTTAAAGAGCTCCTAAAGTCTTTTCAGTTATTTAAATGAAAAAAAGTTGTATTTTAGACAACTATCAGCTAATGCCTAACATTTTTATTAAAATACTGATGGAAACAGAGAAAAGTAAACTCTAGGTCTACTGGATTGCATGCAGATAGGGAAAAATCCCACCACAAATTGTACTGGCTTAGCTGCTTAGTTATTTCACTCCTTATTTTCTGCACTTGAGAAAACGAGGTCAGAAAGCCACACAGCTTCTCTGACTGGAGAGGAAAGGCCGGGGCAGGATTTCTGGAGTCCCATCCAGCTCTCTAAGTGGAAGAATGAAGATTAGGACCTTGCGGCTGGAAGAACAGAGCTGAGGAATACTCGGGATTCACTCCTGTCCTACGGGAATAATCTATTCTTTCTGACAAACTTCACTTGTGGTTTTAATAGATAATTAACTCGTCGGCCCAATCCCGTACTCAGCGTTTTACAGAATCGAGGTCTTAGGCACAGCAAAGACTTCAGATAAACATGGAAGCGAGGCAACACTTGTATTTCCATTTTTTATCTATGGATTACGTTCTTTGTTAAATTCCTTGAGGTTTGTTGTTTTTTTTTTTAATTTGTAGTAACTTTTCAAAATACAAACTAGTAAGAGCCTGGAAAAGACAGAACTACCCTAACAGATGAGGGAAAAACTCTCAGTGCACTTTTTATTCCATATATGAACTAACTACTGGGAATATTTACCAAAAAAATAAAAGATCACCCGCAAGATACTGAATTTGAAAGTAACGCTGAAAGTTTTTAAAACTGCACTCCAGAAAACGTCTGAGCAGCATCAGAACATTATAGGGTTGTCTGATTTCCTGGTTTTCCACGGCAAATTTCCACTGATGGCAGTAGAGAACTGAGGCAGGGGCTGAAGATGTAAAAGCAAATAAAACTAAAGATTCTTGGTAGCTACTTACCTACGATGGCTATTGACTCTTATATTTTTTTGGCTCAGTGCTGTTTCAGAACACCCTTGACCCCACCATATAATTTCAAGGACATATATATTGATTTGAATATTAGCTTGGTTCCTTTCTTGTATTTCAACCTTATAGTGGATATAAATGAGAAATAAGCATGCTATAACAATCACAGGAGCTGCTGTCCTTCAAACTGGTGACTCTGAACGAAGGCTGCTTTACGTAATGCATATGAACATGCAAGCTGTCTCCAAAATGGTCATATTAAATAAGTCTCCTACGTATGTACATACAGACCAGTAACAAAACTCAAATATTATAGCCCTACTCTCTTCTGTTTAAGATTTCCATTTCTAACTGTTGCATATACTATAGCTGCTCAAAGAGCTGAATAAAGTGAGTGTAGCAGACTTTTTCAGAGAAAAATAGTCATATAAAAAGTTGTAAGTACAGTAAAGTGAGAAAGTTCGCAGAGCTCTCACTTAATTTCCTCTTTGGTTCCTAATTAGGATTTGACGAGTTTGAAACCCTGTCCCGTGTCCAGCACTGTGGGAAGAAACCAACTCATTTTCAATCTTTTCAAGCACCTAAAGCATGCTTTACAGACCCAGAACAGATTGAGACCACAAAACCAGTTTGCCAAATGTACTAAGGGATAGGTGATACGTGGGAAGTAGATCATCCAGTGTTTGGCAACGTCACTCCCCGTTGGCAAATGCAAAGTGTAGTCGCTCCAGTGCTTTGACACACCATACACCGCTTTCACCGTACGTCCCTTTTCAGACCAGCTGATGTTGCTGTCGGGGTTACAGTTGTACTCAACCCATTGCCTGGTGAAGTCACCAAGCTGTGGAGGGTCTGCTTCCTCGATGTCTACAACTCTGGCCATTTCTGCTCCTTGCACGGCAATGTACTGGTCGTTTACTTTTCTTACTTCTTTAACCCAGGGCTGAGAGTTCTCACAGTCTAAAACAATGATGAGTCGAGAACAAAAAGTGCCATTCTTTTCTCTCCACCACTCCAGAAGTGTGTCAAGTCGTAAAGCATCACCTCCTGCCAGAAGGAAAAAGTATTTAAGATTGGCAGGAAGAAACAGAAACCTCTGTAGAATTTTGACTGTGGTTCCAAGAATCCCTTATTTTAACAACCTGGACAGAGATAACAGAAGTTTTCAACTGATCCTCCCTGCTTGTAGATGTTGCAGACCTCCAGAGAGATATTAACTGATTCCACCTGACTTACTGTGGCAAGGCAACTCATCCTTGATTTAAAAAAAAAAGAGGGGGGGAAAAAAGAAGGGAGGGAAAAAGAGGAGGGGGGGGAAGGGGGAAAAGAAAAAGAATTCCCTCACAGGGTGACAGAAATTACAGTCTGTTGAAGAAATCTGGAATAGCTAAATAAGGGATGAAAACCTGAAATAGAGTTTATTTTCTATTAATTTCTTAATATTTTAATGGGAAAAAGCACTCTTTTAATTATGTTTTTATTAACATTAAAAAGGACTCCTCTGTTAAGGAAAAGAGAGGACTTTGGAACACAACACATGCTAACAGTTTTGAAGCACAATTAGAAAGCCATCTGCAGGCACAACCATCGCTCTGGCTTGAAAAAATGTGATCAGAAATGGAAGATTCACTCACAGACAGGGTTGTCTTCAGAGCTTTGAGAAAATTAAAATTAATACGGATTTACAACTCACTGAAACAAAAATTTCATAGGAATTTTCCCACAATATTTATTTCTTATCTGCTCAGAAACACTGGCAAGTACTGTGTCCAACTTCTCGTGTTCTGTCTCAGCTCTTGCTGCAACAATGCTTTGAAAGAGCAGGTTGTAGTAGTTAAAGTTACCTATAGCAGGGAGTCCTGCTGCTGATGTGCAATGGCTACTGCAGGATCTCTGTAGCTTTGAAAAGCAGACTACTTACTCAAGTGCTTAAAGAAAACATCTTCCAAACAAGTGAATAAACCTCCACTGGCTCCACAGCGACTATTAATGTGAAGAACTGATATGTCTAGGTGTCAGCAGGTTGGAGCTATGATACAGATTTACAACAAAAACACTCTAGTTTGAAAATGGCAACTTTAAAAAAAAAAAAAAAAGACGACTTTTAGAAGAAAGGTAGAAAAATGTGATTTAAAATAACTGCATTTTAATTCCATAGCGATTTTCATTGTGGAATGTAAGTACATTTAACAGTGTTTAAAACCTTGGTAGTAAGAATTAAACTGCACAGATGAATCTCAAGAATAGCTGCGTATTTCAGCACTTACATTTTTTACCTATAAGCGGTGACAAAAAAGTCCTTCAAATTAATAGCTCAGAGTTAAAGCATTGAGAATGCTATCACAGTTAAAGTAAAAGCAAAATTACAGGGCTACAACTTGCTCCCAAAAAATCCCCAAACCTGGAAAATTTAGTAACAAACAAAATCTTGGTACATGATCCACAAATTGCTGTAGTTATTTACAGCAGAGACTTGTATAGAAGCAGTTTCCCTTTTCTAGGTAAGCCTTCTGGGTCAATTAGCAGTATAAATTTCTTTATTTGTTCATGTTTTAAAGGCTTATAAATAAACTTTATTTTAGTGTAACTATGCAGGGGTGTATGTGATTTCAAAACATTACCGGATAGAACTGCCCCAAGAAAAGAGTCTCATCCTTCATGCACACACACAAACACACGCTCAGCTTCTAACCCCACTGACCTCAAACACACGGAGTCATCGGCCAGCACAAGATTTCGACACCAAGCTGTGTAAGAAATCCAGGCTCCGGCCACCTCTGGCGCTCTGGCAGGTTTTGCAGGCGGTTAAGCCGACAGTTCCGCAACAACCCAGATCTTGCCCTTGCGTTCACTCGGAGAACATGACGACCTCCCAGGTCATTTGACTGCTCATACTTTACGTATGACTAGTTAACAGTTTCTTTTATACACCACTGTGTTACATCTCAGCTTCCAACAACAGAGAAACATCATTAGTGAACTAATAAATCCAGTAAGTCTCCTTTTTAAATATCATTACAAAGCAAAGACTACACTGCTACTGCTGTGCCGTAGCATGGCATAAGCTGGCAGCGAGACACTACTTTTTCTATTAGATCCAAATGTTGCACTTCCTTGTTGCCATCTCTCTTCATCCTCTCCAGAGGTCAGAGGATGGTACACACTACAGGAGTTGATGACCAAATATTCCATCTGTCACGAAACGCCACTGTCCGATACATGCAGTACAATTACACAACCAAACAGCCTTCATCTTTCCAGTTCATACTTCAAGTTACATTCAGAGGCAGTGCCATCTGGAAGGAGTATCGGGTTCCACTCCGTGATTTATCTAAAATTAATCACAAAAAAGGATGCAAGACACGTCACAGCTGCCTGTTCCTCTCCTTTATGTGACTACATATATCTCCAAGTAGAAGGTGAAGTTGTGAGGGGTAGGAAACTGAAAAGCAACTTTGTGAGAAAGCTGAACACCACTGCATTCACACTCTGCATCTTTTAGCACAGAAACTTTCTTTTTATTGTAATGGTTACCTTGGCCCTTATCCTAAAACTGAAGACAGCGTTTAATTTAGGCTACAGCTACCTGAACAAATACACAGAGACCTGAGCTCCCCTGTCACACTCCAGGCTGGCCAGATGTAAGCCAACACTGGGCTGGGAGCTGTCTAATTTTTGCATTTAGCTCTATATACACTAGTGAGGTAACTGTGTCGATGCTGCCAGCTGCAGCACGAGTGGGAGGCAGAGTTTCGCTGCGAGCCTGCTCCACACAATGTATGGACACACTTGGCAACGGGGCGGCAGCTGCACTTATGATAAGACCGCTCTATTCTCGGAGAAGTCATTCTTCACTGCATTACCCAACACATACACCGCATTACATCACTCGTGCTAAGCTCTGAGTATGGCTGTGGCTTTTTTAAAATCACTGATACAGATGAAGCCTTTGAAAATAAATACACGTTGCAGGTCTAACGGTTAAGGCATGGAGTTGCACCAAAACAGGTACACGGCCTCCAGAGGAAAACTGACCTGCACCTGAACTCCTCAGCATGACCACGCAACAAAGCTCAGATCTGTCTACACTGTCCAAGAGCAGATGCCCCTGGAGCGAGCTTCTTTAGATCGAGTTAACTGCATACCAAAGGGGCTTCTGCATTTCTCCATTCTCCCCACTAGCACAGACAGTTGCCTATTTTGATGATTCCTTGTAGTCCCTGAATCTCCTAACAGCCATGTTCTGTGTATTACCCTTTCTTTTATTCCTTCCCTGCCAGGAGCTTGTATGAACCTGTTATCCAAAGACTGGTGGCCCTTTGCCATTCTGGACTATCAGATAATAAATGTGACCAAAACTTCAAAGTTTTGCAATATGGTATGATTTTTTTAAAGAAATAATTAATTGATTTGGAAAGTTTATCAATGCCAAAACTGTTAATAAAAAAAAAATCCCCAAACCAGTTACCTGCTAGTGCCCATTCACCAGTGCCATGGGAGTGACCACTGTAATATAAAATGTAGGTATCATGTCTGGGTCCATCTGCTGTCCGAAGTTCAAGAAAAGACTTGATTTTGGAGTGAAGGGTATCGAAGCTCAGTCCACTTGTAGAATAATCACAACCATATGTCTCAATCATGTGATATGCAAAAAATCTTTGGATGGCATTAAGCATGCCAGTAGACCTCAGATTTAACTCTTGTACATGCTCGGGTGGAAGGAGAGTTGGTTGGCCATCAGGACTAAAGAAAAGAAAAACACCTATGATTATGATTTATAATTATTTCATCCTTAGTGGACTTACAGCAATTGGTGATTTTTTCCCCTGTGCATATTTTCTCTGCTATGAAGTAGCACTGTTCTAAATTCAAATTTACTTGCTATGTACAGTTTATAAACAATTCAAATTACTGTATTTGAGTGAGGGACCACTATCTCCCCTCCCTTCTGTCACACTTCACTTCAAAATGTAGTCCTTACACAATCCCATGCTATTCCTGCAGCTGAGAGACAGAGAGGGAGAGAGAGAAGCTGCGATGTGAATTCGCTGGGCTTCAATGATTTCATTAAGTCCCACGGAAATGGCACTGTCTTCAGACAGGCATTTGTTCACACACAACTGGAAAGAAGCGCAGGGAGAATGATTGGTAGTCTGCACAAAACATCATGCAAACTAGTTTCTAATAACAGACTAAAGAGAAATCCAAGTATGCATTTTGCTCAGATATTTTGAATTAATTTCTCTCCGTTCTAAACTAGCCGTTATTCAATATGGTAGTCACACAAATACAGTAATTCTTCTGTGCGCTGTTCGGATGCTGATCTTTCAGCATAAGAAATGTGTTTCAGATGAAACTTAGAAAATGAAAGTTCTGAGAAAATTACAAACTAGACCTGGAACAAACCATGTACATATAGATGTATATGATGTGCATATATAACAAAAGAGTCCCTGGGTTCCCTGGGCAATGGACGGATTTTATGGATTAAAATACAGAGATGGTCTTACTCTACTAATACAAAATAGAACTTCAGTTTCTTAAATATATTTATGTGTGTATGTATGTATTCTTCATGTATTTTGTTTGCAAGCTGGTATGCAAAGTTACCTGCTTTCTTTTTTGGTCTAGCTAGTTAAATTTTGTACCTCCTCACCTGTCTAGTGCCTTCATGAAGGCTAACATTCCACTACTACAATTCTATTGAATACATCATAATTTCTGTGTGTCTTAGCAAGTGAAGACTGGGCCCAGTACTGAAAGAGTCAACCTTTGTTAATAAGTAAGTTTAGCTCTGCCAGGTCCTAAACAGTTGCTCAAGAGTATCTCATTCACTCAGAAACTACAGGGAACTGCCACAACCAGAATAATATAATACAATGAAAGAATTAAATTATTGCCATGGGAACAAAAAGAATTTATTTCTATTGTAATGTAAATTTTGAAAATTTACCTTTTGTATCCCTAACAATAATTGACTACATGGATTTTTTTAAAAAGAGTGCACAGCTGAAGACTGTAGACTGAAGTTCAAAAAAATTGTTTTTACGGTATTTTACACTATTTAAGATACAGTGATCTAAGATCAGCACTTAAGATCAGAAACACTACCTTCTGTTTCTTTGCCTGTGATTTTTTTCCCTATCCACTGAATCCATTACACATACTGTGAGCTGGGCAGTTTTCATAAATTTGGCAGTTCTATTTTTAAGCCTCTCACTTCAACTTACCACTCTCTTTCTCTTGTAATGCAAATAGCTTACATAGATCTTGTTTATCATTTACAAAAAAATGTGTATGTGCAATTTTAATTATACGGCTAAAGAAGGATTTGCAAGTATAAAGCTTGTAAGAAAAACACATAAATGCACAAATAATAGTACAATTCCTCCACCTCCAAGCATTTCTCATATGGTAACATTATACTGGAACAAAAAATCAGCTGTAAATTCACAATACCAATAACTGACATATAGTCCACTCACAAATCTAATTTCACTGTCCATTAAATGTAGACACCATCTCATTTAATAGAATTCAAAATTGTTTTAAATTGATCTGTTTGGTTTGTTAAATCTCCTGTTATAAAATATCTCCACTCAGTCAAATGCCCCCATCCTTCTTTGGGTGAGAAACAGACTGTGGAATCTGCCCGTGTATGATTGATTCGTAAAGCATTCATTGGCTTTCTAAAATCAAATTAAACACATTTAAAAAGGTGGAGTTGGAGCTACTCATTCTTTTTGGACAGGTGAGGAAAAGGAAAGATACAAAATCTGCCTATTATTTAAATTTGTATGTAATTATGGAAAAATACAAGCAACAGCCCTCCATTGCCTCTACTAGCTAACAGTACGCTTACAGTACTGTGAAGTTGAAATATATGCTCACTGTACCTGCAAAAGTTGGTGGGAATCACAACAGCATACCCAACACATGTTCCTCCCAAGCAGTTTCCCAGCTCATGGAAAAGCCCATGAGCCATGGACTCCAGAGGTAAAACGATGAGAAATGCACTCATGAAGATCCCATTGGTTGGCTAAAAAGAAAACAGAGAGATTTATGTATTGCATGAAAAATCCTTCCTATCTGTTGGTTATGGTTTTATGAATAATTCCCCGTGTTTGATGAAACATAATTGGGTCCTGAAACATGCAAGTTGTTATACGTAACGTATACTTATTTTCCCACATATTACACGGTGAAGTACTCTAAGGACAAATGAAAGGCCAGTCTGGGGTTTGAGGAGAAGGTGGGTGGTACGCAGGGATCACTCTTCTGAAAGAAATGCATCTGAACACTAACAGCACAGGACTTAGGTTTAAAAGCCCTGATCATAGCTTAGCTTTACCCATTTAAGCAGGAAAATCAAACGCCACAAAATTATTTATGTACAAAAAATAAGAGTATCTGTAAATATCTGCAAGATTAGGCCTTAATCAGTAAAGTACAACACAGAATATTACATACCTAGCATCAGATGATAGCATACTATATTACATAATTAAAAATACAGATTTAACCACTCCAGCTTTTTAACATCAAGAGTTTGTAAAATATTCTTTGTGGAATACTATGTATCACACAAAAGATGACTTGTGGGAACATCAATGAATATTATTGCAATTAAAAAGACAATTCTTTATCAGCTACATAAATATCAGATGAGAAGGGACATCTACTACAGGACTTTGTAGCATTCACACAGCTTTGTGCTTTGAGCTTTCCTGTTTTGTAGGTAAAAAACAGTTTTGGAAAAGATTATACTCACTGATACGTAGATGGTTTCTGTAAAAAAAACAAGTTTCAAAAGTTAAGTCTCAACCACTAGTACTAGTAAAATAAAAATGGACTTCTGAAATACCAGCTGTCAGCAAGAGGCAAAACAGATACAGGTTCGTTTTAATTATTTTAATATGATGTGACTGCGTTTAATGAGGCATTACATGCTTTAGGAAAGGTAGAAACAGTATTATAATATATAATTAAGCAAGAACTTTAATATCCATGGTGCAGTTATTAAATATTAATGTTTTTTATGTAGCAAAGGAAATAAATTTATAGCTACGGATTTCTGTCTTGAGAAGAGTCCTGTGGCCTCTGACCACATTGATGTCATATCCACCCCCTCTGCATAAATCTACAGTATTAATGTTTTTTAAAAATCTGGATATTGCCTTATTGTTTAATGCTCAGTGATTTGATGTTGACTGGTAGTTCATCTTAACACATAGACAAAGGTATTACTAATTTGGAAAGAAAATTATACTGAATAAAATTACACCTAAACCAACTCAGTTCTTGTTGGCACATGGCACTAATTCAACTATATTCAGCTTTTAAACACGTAAATATTACATCACTTAGTCTGAAAGAACAACTTTACCAATCTAATGTGCTTCCTGCCCTAAAGAAGAATACTGTTTGCCATTGTACTTCTGGCAGAAGAATTTCACCTATGTGTCCATGAAATGGTGACAGCAATACTTTTAACCACAAATAAACACCAGAATCTGCTATTAACTGATAATTGATAACACTATTAACTGATAGCACTGTTCTCAAATAACTGGTAACTATTAACTGATAGCATTATTCTCAAATTCCAACATCTTGAACCACTATAAAACTATATCCAGCTCCTACTATGCTTTATACAATTCATGACAAACGAAGTTTATTTGTTTAGCTTCTAGCTCTCAAGAATGTGAGGACATGACATTGAGCAGACATTACATCATGTTACAGAACAACCACGGAAAGCTTCCCTTTACCCACAACCTCGCACACCTTATCACAAAAGTGTAATTAATACGTTCATTGACTTGCTAACATTCGAGCGACAAAACTGGTTCGGATAGAACAAGTTCATCAATAGGTGGTAATGCTAGTGTTAACACTGTGATCCGATTTCATGTGGTATAATGTAATTTGATGTTTTGAAGCTACAAGGAGCAATGTGTGCCTTTGAAGTGCACACACATTACAGGAGATTCACAATCACTTTTACGTACATTGTTTTCTTAGCCATCTCAGGAGGTACATGGCATCATTCCAGATTTACTGCCTCTCCCTGTCTCCATCTTGCCTACACTCAGAGGTCAGAATCAATGAGGAAGTGGGCAGGTGGAATGTATTGAGGACAAGCGCAGACAAGCATTCGCATAGTGATTCTCAAGTTTCGTGTCAGAGAATAAGGATTTTCAGAATTAATTTCCCCCAAATCCACACAATTACCTGAAATCACCAGAAGACAGGAAAGCTTAAAAGAGTGTAACAATTATGGTGCAACCTCAACTTGTTTTGTTGTCAATAAAGAGAAGAAAATTCTGTAATTAAGACAGTATAATTTTTGTTTCAAATGTATCAGCAGAAAGTGCTCAGTTTTCCAAATACACTCTGAAAATAAAAAGGACTCAGACCACCAGCAATAAAAACTTACAAAGATTACTTTCTGTTCTATAGAAACCTTGCAAAATATAAGACTGATGAAATAGTGGAGCTCTCTAGCTAAATTAGTTTCAAGATTTGGAGACTTACTTTTGCAATTGTAGACACCTAAGGGATAATTTGCTTTAAGTGAAAAGGAAGGGGAGGGAAGAGAAAGACTTGGATCCTGTAGAAATTGAAGGGCTTGTCTGGAAAAGCTTCCCATTTGCAATCGGTTAGTCAGAGGATTTTCTAAACCTTGGAAAGACTGAACACATGGACCAGGAAGTAGTATAATGCATTTTTATGACAAATTCAGCTTTTCCACCACATATAAATATGACTTTTCTTGGATCTTCTTCGAGCAAACTGCTCTTACATTGCATTAGTGTTCTGATCACAGTAAACACATTACAAAATAAAAACCATACTTGCCCATAAAAACTACAGCCATCATATTATCCTAAAGACTATTACTATATTATTATTTTATATAATTTTACTGTAGAAGTTTTCTTAAAAATGCCATGTTGCTCTAAACACTCCCTGCATTTTCTTAATCCCCTAAACCACATGCAAGTTATTAAGCCTACAGAGTGTTCTACAGTAACACAACTTGAGATCATCACAAAGATTAATAGTTTTCACCAAACTTCTGATTGAGTCTGATATCTTAAAAAAATATTTACATTTAACTGTTGAAAATATTCCTACTAATATGAAAATACTGGCAAGAAAATTCACAAGTACTTCTGAGATAAGGATCCTACACAGAAACAGTAAGGATCATCTCAGGGATCCACCTTGCTCTATATCCTGCTTTTAGTTTGTACCAAATATTAAAGAGGAATGGGAAATATGCTCTGTAGTGTTATGAATCAACTCTGCTTCATTTGAAGGTTCAACTTCATCTTCATTCAGTGGCCATCTTACACTATGAAGTAGGAAAGTATTGTTAGTAATGGATATTTTACATGTATAGACATCTATCTAATATAAAGATGCTGGCACTTGCTGTCAGTATTTTTTCAGCAGTTTTGATTTAGAAGAAATGTAAGACTGATCAATGATGTTTAGAGCAGCTCTTTAGTAAGAAAATAAAGTATTTTAATTCAGCGCTAAAAAAATGGTGACATTTTAAAATACTTAAACTATAAGAACTTCAAATAGCAAAATATAAGATCTAATTAAGTTAGTAATTACTGTAAATCTGAAGATAGGTCCCTCTTTTAAGATAACAGCTAAGATGCCAGGTGGAGACTGTCAGTGCTTTACTAAATCCAAAAGATTTGATGACTGGTCATTAATGGAGCAGATGGCCATGGATGCATAGGCGGAGCTAGAAAGGGATTTTGTTCTTTCATTTGTTCAATCCATTTTTTCATTCTGTTTTTGACTGCACTGGCAATCTCAGCCTGCAGTACATCCCTGTACTCTAAGTGCCCGTTCATTCCAGACAGACTGCTCAAAAAGCAAACAGAAGACAGGGACCATTCTTGGCAATCCCACTGAAAACATGAGAAGCCATTTTATCTCTTAGTCTTTGGGGGTTTTTGCCTTTGCCTCTCTCCTTCTAGATGAATATTTAGGAAATACACAGTGTGTTCTCATTTCGAATAACGTGGAAAAGGTAAAAAAAAAAAATTCTTCTTTCCTCTGGCTACTGAAACAATTGACAATAAAAGTTGGGTGAGATTTGCCAGTAGTATTCTCTCTCCACTTTTTTCAGCTTTTCAAGCAACACTTTATTGTTAAATGTAACTTTGTCAAAACATCGGAAGTATTTAAAGGTGTTTTATAGCCATGATACATAATTTTATATTAATGGGTAACTCCAGTCCCAAGGAGTAAACTGCTGTTGAAAGTGGAACTGTATTTAACAATGGAGCATTACTGACATGTGATGGCCAAAAATAATGAGGAGGAAGAAAAATGACATGAAACATTAGTTTAAATTGGAAGCTAGTTACAAAGACCTACAGAAAAGCTCTTCTGATTAAAATAAATTCCTAAACAGATGTCAACTAAGATGATCAGAGAATCATCAAATGGTTGAGGCTGGAAGGGGCCTCTGGAGGTCATCAAGAAGGGCCACCTACAGCAGGCTGCTCAGGATTACACACAACAGATAACAACGGAGGAGGCTTACAAAGATGTCTTTGTGTATTTATAAGCAAAGAATCTGCCTTGCTTTCCATTATCCAAGCTGAATAATATTGGCCTATTTTTATATATCCACACAAACACACACATGTATATAAGGAAATATAAAAGAAACAGTTCTGCTTAGCTCCTCTGCAGTGACTCTGCAAAACTAAAGTAGTACATGCTCCATAAAGGAGAAGGCTCAGGAGAAAAAAGGATAACATGAGAACTAATCTACAAATATTTGATGGATAGCTTATTCCAAGAAATGAAAACAAGGTATGTATGTTACAGGTAAAAAGAAGCTTAAAGAGAAAATTTGTAAAGTTACAATGTAGATCAACTGCCAGAGGAAACAGTCTTATAACAAATTATTGAATGGAAGAATAGTCTCTGGAGAACAATACATAATCCATTACTTCTGACCATTAAAACAGAACTGGGAAAATCCAGAAAACAGTTTGTAGA